TTTGGCAGTACAAGAGTGCAAATTTTGAAAAATGTAATGAACTTATATCTAATCATAATTGGATAGATATTTTTGTATAATTGTGACTCGGTTAATTTAGCATGTGATCGTTTTATGAACATTTATCTACCAAACGTTTGGTAGATATCAATAAGTTCAAATCACAGCGAAACAAAGTTAATAATATGGAAAAGCATGCACGTGTTTAATGAAAATGTTAATGATGTTATTGATGGGTACTCATCTTCTGATCCTAAGTCTTATTGGAAATTAATTAAAAGGTTAATTAAAACGTTTGATACTTCACAACCTATACCGTCCTTAATTGATCCTATTACGAATGACATAGTTACTAGAGATGAAGATAAAGCTGAATTATTAAATAACTATTTTTGTAGTATTACTAGAGTAGATGACAGTAACATTGATGTTCCGATTATTGCGCCAAAAACTGAGAAACAAATAAGTTCAATTTGATTACATTCAACTGAAATACGCGATGTTCTACAAATATTGAAGCTCGGCAAGGCCTCGGGAGGGGATGGAATCAGCCACCATATGCTAAGAAATACTGCTCACACTGTTTGTATTCCGCTCGAAATAATATTTAATATTCCTTATCAACAGAAATTTATCCAAATAAATGTAACATAGCTAATATAATGCCATTGATTAAAAAGGGTGACAGACATTCTCCTTCGAATTATAGACCAATTTCCTTGCTGTCCACTGTTGAGAAAAGTTTGAAAGAGTGGTTTTTAAACATTTGTACAACTACGGTATAGAAACTTCTTTGTTTTACAAATATCAGTCTGGTTTTATGGTCATTCTACAGTGTCAACTCATTGATATTTATCACCTTTGTATTGCACTTGAAGAGAATAAGCATACGTGTGTTGTATTCTGTGACATATCCAAAGCTTTTGGTTAGGATTGGCATAGAGGTCTTGTAGTGAAGTTAAAATCGTACGGAATTTCAGGTGAATTGCTTATATGGTAAGAAAATTATTTGTCTCAGAGACACCAAAGGGATTTTTAAACAGTTTATATTCTTCTGTAGGTCTAATTGAGACTGGGGTTCCGCAAGGCTCTATTCTTGGCCTACTTTTATTTCTTATATTTATTAATGACATAGAAGATATTTTTGAATCAACATCTCGTCTTTGTGCAGACGATACATCATTACTTAAGTCATCTTCATCTTGTCCAGAAATTCAAGAAACTGTAAATATAGACCTAGAGATCTTAAATACTTGGTCAAAAACCTGGTTGGTTAATTTTAATCCTGAAACCCCCCAGATGTATTGTTTATTTCGAATTCAATCGATATCGAAGAAGACTTCGATTTAGAATTTAATGGGAAAGTATTAAACTTTACAGATTATCATAAACATTAAGGGGTAACTTTAAATTCGAATGCAAAGTGGGGAGATCATGTAAATGGAATTTACACTTCTGTTATGAAAAAAATAATGTCTTACGGAAACTGAAACACTTATTAGGTAGGAGGGATGCTTTTTTGATATTTTACAAGACTTTTATTTTACCTATTTTAGAATATGCTTGTGAGTTGTGGGACGGTTGCACTATTTTTGAATCGGAAAGTTAGAAAAAAGCCCAACGTGAAGCTGCTCGCATTATATTAGGACTTCCTTCATAGACCTCTATTAATACTTTATATTACGAAACTAGTCTTGAAACTTTTTCTAATCGCAGAAAACGGAGGAAACTTCAACTATTGTATAAGATGCATAATAAATTAACTCCTGATTACTCCAATAATCTTTTGCCGACTTTACGTAACAATAATAACTACAGGATTCCTCCTTTCAGACTATCTCTTACTAACTCTTCTTTTCTACCTTCTATTCTTCACTATTAGAATAACTTAGAAAAATCGGTTCGATCCATACTCTCTATTAATTAATTCAAATCCTGTTTAACATCTAATATTCATTCAAGTCCACCTATTTACTTTAAAATCGGAAGTCGTAAACTTATTTTTTTGCAAACTAAGCCCCGACACCAGTGCAGTTCCCTTAATTATGACCTTTTTAGAGTTAACCTTGTTGAGAGTGCATCTTGTAATTGTGGTCATCCTTGTGAGAATGCCTTTCACTATTTTATGGAATGTCACCTTTTTATGAACGAAAGACGTATTTTGGTTCACAATTTGATTAATTTGAATGTTGTGTTAAATTTAGAAATTCTTTTGGCTGGCAATTCACAATTTTCCGTGGACCTTAACTCTAACATTTTTAGATCTGTGCAAAATTTGATTAAATCCAGCAAGAGATTATGAGTTCAAATTGTAACAACAATTGTATATATTTATTGTCATTATTGTAATGTCATTTAAAATGTATATTGGGAGAAGGCGTTGATAAGTTGTTCTAGCTTGTGCCTAATCCCTTATCTAATTTTGACAATAAATATATTTAAACTAAAACTAGATAGGATTTGAATACGGAAGTGCATACTGACAGCGGTACCGATGTCGCGAGGATCCAGACGGCCAGTCACGTTACGTCAGATGTAGACCTGGGTTTGTAGGTAATGGTGTCTCACAACGTTGCATCAGAATTCATAACATACAGAAATATTCATAACTTACTCTAATGCATCTTTTGAGCATTTTCCATATTTTGGTAAAATTGTAAAAGAAAAAAAACCAACCCGAAAATGAATTGGCAGATTTTATATGAATCCCATTTACAAGTAATCTATTATTTGCTATTTTAGTCTATTCCGCTTATCAATTAACAAAATGTTCAACATTTCATTAATTACCATGGTTACAGTTGTATTTAAAAAATATTTCATTGCCATACAAAAGTACAAACTAATTGGACGCAACTTATTACAACATAAGCAACGCCCCTCTCCATTCATCATACATACATACATTGTATATAAGTTAATGGCATAAAAGGAACTAAAATGAAAAAAAAAGAAATAAAAGAAGAAGTATGAACTAAGAGTTTATACAAAGCTGATTTCTAATAATCACGGATAATAGGTAATGAAAGTTAGAAAAATTCAAAAAAGTTTAACGTTCTTCTCCATATGTCCATAAAGTAGGCGTGTATTGTCTATATTGTGATAGATACCTTCTACGTGTAAATTACTTAACATAGGAAGTCTCTGAACTTGATAATTTTGAAAAGAAATATGTATTTTTTTAACATGTAGAGTCACAGGAGCACATTGGTCTATCCACAATATTAAAAATCATAATTCATCTTATTGGCAGTTCTTCAATCTTTTTAATATATTTTGTTTTAAACATATTTTATTGTAATTTATATACAATGGGAGTTGGGCACAAGTTTTAACAACTTATATTAAGCCCTTTCCCTACAATATATTACTACAAAATATCGAGAGAGAGAGAGAGAGAGAGAGAGAGAGAGAGAGAGAGAGAGAGAGAGAGAGAGGGATTCGGATTAGTTGGTAAACAAGGAGTGCAAGAAAATATACTCTAAATCTGTTAGTATCTAGAATAAATTGCTGCGTCTGTTTGTCTAATAGGATGTTTTCTTGATATGACAATTCATTATTACCGTATAGTAATAGCTGCAAGTTAAGTGGAATGAAATCATTCAATTCGCATAAGAGTTTAATTCTCTGATCCGCATAATTATTACAAGTAAAAAAGAAGTGATATGTATCTTCGATAAAGTTTCCCCTCGCTAATTTCTTCATCTAAAGAACAACTTTGTTCCTCAAATCGTTAACGAAATATATTGGTATAGGCTGTTAACCAATCAGAGCTCGTGGCGGCCATGTTGGAATTTTAATTGCTCCAAAAATAAACATAAGTTCGTTAGAGGAATGCATGTACAAATGTTTGTTAATATTGGAATGGCAGAATTACGGAAGACGATCCATAAATGATTTTACCCAAAACAGCACATTTGAACTTTGACTCCATACCGAAAACTGGAAGTTGACATTTTTTGCTAAAACAATATGAGAGAGAAATGTTCCCCTTGTATATCTTTATATCGTTTCCAATGATCAACTTTGTGCTTGATATTGTAAATGAAATATATTGGTAAAAGCTGTTAACAACTCAGAGCTCCAGGCAGCCATGTTGGAAATTTAATTGCTCCAAAAAGTAACAACTTTATAAGGTCCCTAGACATACATGTACCAATTATGGTTAATATTGTAATGACAGAATTAGAAAAGAAGTTTGTAAAAATATTGTCCGATTTTCAAAAAGATCAAAGGCAATGATGAACACACCTCATCTGACGTCAACGGGAAATGTTTCAGAAACAATAAATATCTCAAATTGATCGGATGGCCATTTGCTATCGACTACGAAAAGAATTTTTCAAAACAAGTGAAAAATGAAAAAGTTCTAAAAATAGTTGACTGTTGACCCCATGGCGAGAATTTAAGCTTGACCTTTTTCCTTTTTACATGACATGAGTCAAATTTAGCCCCGGCCACACTCTATCAATATATTATAGTATAAATACAGTGCTATTTATAGTTAAAAAGATATGGCTGTTTAAAAAAAGGTAAAAAAGTATCCCTTTATAGGTCATGGCAGCCATATTGAATTTTCGATTAACTTGCAAATTTGGTCATGAAATCTCCAAACTATTAACTACAACCTGGCAAAATACCATGTAATACCTATAACCATTTAGAAGGAAAGTTGGTTTAAAGATCTTGAGAAGAAGAAGAAGAAGTCAAGAAGCGATAACTGCCTATAGGAAAAAGCACAGTGCAGTGAGGCATGGATCTTTAAGCGAAATTGTGTGAACGACTTTGGTAGCTTATACTCAGATGTGTCTGCGATCCGAGTGACATATCAATGTCAGCTGAGAGCAGTTCAATCATTGTTTACATGTTAACTTTTTCCAAATGTCGTGGCTTGGTATGTCATTGGAGAAAGTCAGTTTCCATTTTGTAACCCCAACGGACAAAAGAGCATTTTCGTTCACGTACTGGCCAACGGACAATTGAAAATAGTAACAATGGAATAAGGTTTCGATGTTGTTTTATTTACAAAAACTTAAACAGAATAAATACAACAAATAACGACGGCTAAGTATCAAGCTCCCCAGTCATCGCGTCATCTTCATCTCTGGGACTCAATCATTCCTGTAGGAAAGAAACAAAAACAGACGTTAGTAAACAGTGATTGCCTCCCTTGATTAGTTTTGACAAAATTAGAACAGACCATCATGTGGCATAATTTGAGCGGAATTGTATTCATACGAAAGTGTAGTCTTTGTCAACTAACACTGCAGAGTGGATCCGTCATAGGTATAACAAAAAATACCTATCAAATTATTTATGTAGCATAATAATTGACTGATAAATTTATTGATACGATATCTACAATCGAACAGGAACAAAAGTTCCTGCAGAGCTAAACATACAATTATAAGTCGGGTTAATAGACGAGATCCTACAGGACAAATCTAATTTAAAAAGGGGTAGAAATCCGGACAAAGCATAGCATTCCCTGGTTTGATAGCCGACCTAATATGTTGTTACCGATTATACATGGAAAGTGTCGATTATTTCAGCATTGAGCATATGACATGTGAAGAAATAAAGAAAAGTTATAAACGATGTTTTCGAAAAAAGGCTCAAAAGTCTGGACTAAACCAGCATCAAAAGACTAATTGAGCGAGTTGGTATACATGTTATATTCTAGAAGCAGTTGGAAAGGAAGAAAGTCTTCACACCTGTTACGTATTCAGTAGATAGTTTGGCTAGGGTAATACTGTTGACCGCTGGCATACGTCTGCTGTCCACCACTGTATTGTCCGGCTCCTGCGTTGTACTGACCACCGCTGTACAATTGTGATCCTCCGAACTGACCGGCACCGTACATCTGGGATCCTCTGTACTGACCGGCACCGTACATCTGGGAACCACCATACTGACCGGCACCGTACATCTGGGAACCTCCGTATTGACCGCCGGTAGTGTAAACAGTTGGGTAGCCTTTTGTGATCATACCACCCTTTACGTAACCACCGTGACCGTAGTGCTTCTTGCAGGGCAGACCTGAAACACAGAAAATAAAACAATTAGTTGGAATTTTTGGTCAAAAGATGTTCTCAAAACTTTAATTAAATTCTAAATAATATTCTTATATGCAATAATACGAGTCTTCCTGGATTTCCGACACCTTCAAGGGAAGCTACTCCAGTTGGCAAAATCGTAAATAGAGATTGTGCCATACACGTTGAACAATAGACTGAAATAACCTAGCAACATGTACGTTTTTTTCACCCAGTTATACCAATGCACGGATTACTCGTGTCTGTTATTAATAGAAATGTCCATATGTGGTTGTTGTGGTGGAAAACCCCTAAAAAAAATCATTTTTCCTAGAAATATTATCCTAAAATATATATAATAACGTTTCTACATACCTGATCCCTTGACGATGGGATATCCTCCTTGCATGTGACCGCCAAAGTGACCACCACCGAGGTGACCACCACCGAAGTGACCCCCTGCCCCAATGATGAAGCCATCATCATCGTCGAAAAGGGAGGCAGAGGCTACCGACAGAACGGCGACGAGGACGGCGGCGACGATGAAAGTATTCATGGTTATAGCTGGTAAAAGTAGAAAGATGATATCAATAAATGATCTAAAAACAACTCCAGTTTCTATTTTTGATTATAAGTAGCTTGTTACAAAAATAATGTTCAATTACCAAAATAAAAATACAAATAAACGAATAGATATTTTTTTTTTTAGATAAAACAAATCGAATAAATAAATCAATCAATTAAAATTGCTATAATGTTCTTGCTTAACTTTAAGATTAATTTAGCTACATATGAAGTTGAAACCTGCAATCTACACCAGTTGCTACACCTGTATTTCTATACAAATAACTTGTAATAAAAATCATTTCCAATTACCGAAATAAAAATATAGATGAACGAATAAATAAACAAATAAATAAATCAAAACAAATCTTGTAAATAAAGACTAATTACTAGAATTTTCTTGCTCAACTACAAGTCGAACTAGCTACATGTACATGTACAGTAGTGTACATCGTATTAAGAAATGTCGCGTTTGCAAAAGTAGTGAACCTTCTTACTTACTTGTCAGGATAGAAAAAACTATAAGATTGACTTGGCGTACCGGCCTTATATACGGTTCAAACTGAGCTCCCTTCTACGTAACGGGTACCGGGAAGTCACGGGAAGTCTCGTGGAATCAAATTTTCAGACATTCGTTAGATAAGATTTTAATACCGGGAAGTGCATACTGACAGCGGTACCGATGTCGCGAGGATCCAGACGGCCAGTCACTTTACGTCAGATGTATACATGTAGACCTGGGTTTGTAGGTAATGGTGTCTGAAAACGTTAACGTTGCAGCATAATTCATAACATACAGAAATAGTCATAACTTATACTCTAATGCATCTTTGGAGCATTTTCCATATTTTGGTTATATTGTAAAAGAAAAAAAAGGAAAATGAATTGGCAGATTATCTATGAATCTCATGCACAAGTATTCTATTATTTGCTATTTAAGTCTATTCCGCTTATCAATTTACAAAAAGTTCAGCATTTTATTAATTACCATGGTTACAATACTTTATTGCCATACAAAAGTACAAAATAATTGGACGCAACTTATTACAACATAAGCAACGCCCCTCTCCATGCATCATACATGCATACATTGTAGATAAGTTAATGGCATGAAAAGGAACTAAAATGGGAAATAAAATCAAGTAAGAACTAAGAGTTTATATAAAGCTTATTTCTAATAATCTCGGATAACAGGTGATGAAAGTTAGAAAAATTCAAAAAATGTTAACGTTCTTCTCCATTATTATGTCAATAAAGTCGGCGTTTATTGTCTATAGTGTGATAGATACTATAGCTTCTACGTGTGAATTACTTAACATTGGAAGTCTTTGAACTTGATTACTTTGAAAAGAAATATGTATTTTTTTTAACATGTAGAGTCACAGAGGAGCACATTGGTCTATCCACAATATTGAATTTCATAATTTAATACTTAACCTGTTTGTCTTAGTTTCGTATCAATATCAAACGATAATATTGTATCTTACTTTTATCTCATTCGTTACTTTTTGGCACTCAACATATACAATGCTTTAACCCTTTTTAATACATACAAAGTAGTTTTACAAATTTAACCAATTATCCTTTTTTTCTCTCCGAATAATACGGTGTGATGCATTTCACTGTTATATTTTGATATTGTTGACATAAAATAACCCGTACTTCAGCCAAATTCGATACAACAATGACATTTAAAGAAATCCGTATTCTATTTTGTTACTGCAATTTCATTTTATGATTTCATTATCATGAAAGTAAACTTGTCTGAATTCGTTTGGCGGTTGTTTTAGTAGAATCGACAAAGTCCAAGTCGAACTTGGGGCTGCAGGCCATAGTGATCTACCTCTGTAACAGTAAATTAACACTTAGGTTTTAAATATGCAAAGTTCGTGAACAGTTCGAAACACAACTTGAGACATGCCCGACTAGCAAAAATAGATGGGGAGGGAGATGTCGTATTGTAATGGTTGAAGATAAATGTATCTGCTAGCCAATAAGTCATTAAATTGTGTCTTGCTACTCTTATTCCATAATTCTGTTTACTTATACCTGTTTTATACTATTGCAGCATTTCCTAAATCTCCATAATATTATTTTACAGCACTCAACTAATGTACACCATTGATATCATTATCATCTTGTATAGCTGTTTTATACAATAATAGCTTTCATTTTTCCCCCTCAATAATTTTACGGAACTAATCTATAACATTGAATTCGGTACCAATTTTTCTGTTGATTTTTACTCTATGCTGTATTAGCATTATGTGTATTTTTCCACTCTATAATGATTTTAACCTAAGTAATACTTTTGTGATATGCAAGTGCTCACCTTAAAATATGTATTCTAGAGTATCTTCTTCTTGATATTACTTACCTGTGATCGCACTTCATACTGCTTTGTTTTGTATGAATTATAGTTTCATATATCAGCACTTTTATAATCTCAATAATGTACCTAAAGTGTCATGTCTTGGGAATCTTTGTAGGTAGGGGATTCTCGATCACTTAGAAACCTGTGATATGATACTCATTCCTTTCATTATGATAGGGTTTTAAGTTATTTATGAAAACTCTATCTATGACTACCCCTGTTTCATGTGATATTATAATGTTATATAGTTTTCTACATGTGTGTGTTGCAAAAATAGCACACAAGAGCTTATGTTTCTTGTTTATAAGCATGCGACTTTAAATAAAATTTCTTATATCTTTTACCAAAGATTATGAATGAACAAGCACTACTAAATTGAACATATTCTGTATTTTTATAATTTTTATGTGTTTGACAAGAAACACATGTCAAAGGTTAAAATGTATTTAATGTATTTTAAACTTATACAAAAACGTTTGAGAGAAAACTAACTTAGACCTTTTAAATATTACTGCTGTTGATTAATGATTTTTTTGTTTCATAAGAGGTGGAACACTTTTACCGTATTTAAATCCACACATCTCGGAACGAATAGAAACTCATCAAAATACAAGTACGAAATCAGTAAGATTAAACAAGTATTTCATTAATAGGCGCTTTCTTAAGAACTCCGACAAGTGACGTTCTATAATTAAAAAATTCAATTCCATGACTGCTTGAATTTTTTTTTTTTAATCTCAATTGAAAGCTTTTTAAATTGCACTGTCAGCTTTAAGAATCTTCTTCTTACAGAAATGAAAATATATCAATATAGAAAAGCTGCAATTAGTATTGTCGTAAAATTAAGGTATTATAAAAAACAGCCTTATGATCTAGGTTTTCGTATAAAGATGCACATTCTAATTTTCGATATGTATAGTCCGGCCAACGTTGAAGCGTGAAATAGACTTTTCCCGAGCTAAGGGGGGCAACTCTGATTAGCTTAGAGTGTCTTTCAATCCTGACGAATATTGTTTGTTAATAGAAATCTCTGATATTGTTTTTACCTGAAAGTTTTGTCACATGCAAACTTCGTTATAAATATCTTCAGAAAGTTGATTTGACTCATATTTAAGTACCTGTTTGTATTTCATATTTACCAACATAGACTAGGATAATATCAAAACCTCGCAGGTGATATGATCCCGGGTTACCTGCCTAATACCTATTTACCATTAATATCACGTGGTTAACTCGTACAAAGAAGAAGAAATGTGTAAGTCATTTATCACAGTATATAAAGTACATAAACGGTATTATGGAAATGTACGTACATCTCAAGGTATTATCTATTTTCAACTTACACTAACCGCAATGTGGAAACGTCATTTAATTGATAAATTTGAATGATAATATCTGCAATTGTCTATGATATTTCTTAGAAAATGAGCTTCATGATGTAAACAATTTATTTCAATATTTATGTCCATTTCATTTTAGGAGGTTATTTGTATATTTGTAACCTCTTACAATATGGAGGCACGGTAGTCCAGTGGTAGGTCGCCGGGCTCGTGACCGAAAGGTTGCGGGTTCGAGTCACGGCACGGCACTGTGTTGTATCTTTGAGCAAGATACTTTACTCCGCTTGTTCCAGTCTACTCAGCTGTAAACGAGTACGTTATTTGACAGTGCTAGAATTGCTGAATGCTACATGTAGCTGTTAGAACCGAAATGGCAGCTCCCCAGGGAGTTGAGAAAAGTATTGGCTGGTTGCAAAGGCCCTATAACCACGGATAATAATTTGTGAACCCGCTTTGAGACGACCTACGAACTTGGCTGTGATAAGGCGGTATGTAAGAAACTCGAACTATTGTTGTTATTATTATTATATAACTATAAAATTGATGTCTAACTATGATAATGGCGATACATACAACTACGTGTATCATGTGAATGTGTGGAAATAGGAAAACCTGCTGATGCAACCATACACCTCTATTAAGAAACCGCCTTTTTAAGAGGCCACTTTATTCTTCCCCTATTGTAATGATGTCTTTGTGAATTAAGCCTGTTTTGAGGGACTTCCTGTGCAAAGAGATCACTTTTCAGACTTCCCATTGGTGGTCTCCTAATACAGGTTTGACTGAACACAGGTTTTGCAATGGTGTTTTATAAGTACAGGTATATGTTCTTTAATACCAAAATCGAGGTATACATCTATTCCGGTCTATAAGATTCTACGAGTGTTGTAAACTGCCTTGTGAAATACTTGTCCGTGATATAGGAATGTGTGATACTGCTACCTGTACATATAGGCCATATCCCGAACCAAGCCACATCCGCCCGGCACGCGCCATATCCGCCAGGCACGTGCCATATCCGTTTTACTTCCGGTTGGATAATTGATATCATATGTCATACTGGTAGTGTACACACTGCACATCTGTCTGTATTTGCTATTCTGTTCATGATGTTTTATTTAAGGTAGAATGTGATTGTAGTTAAGCTCATGAAATACAAATTTTCTGCCAGATTCATGTGTTATTGCTGTTGATGTGATAGAGCACTATGTGATAAAGAGGTTACCATATGACCATTTCTATACCCTACTCCGTCTCAGCCCCCTACCAATTTCAACTCTCGGGCACCCGGCCCCTCGGGCTGATACGGAGTAGGATATGGAA